TGTAGTCGATTTGGGTACAATGTCCCCCGCTATGGAACGTAATCAAGTTCACATATTTCTTGTTAAAGAAGGAGTAAGTTACCACCATATCGTGTGCAGTAGCAAATTCAAGCAACATACGCCCCTTCTCGTTCCTACTACCAAAACCGAAACCCCCATGAACACCATCATACCTGGCGGCTGCACTACCTATATGACTATTGAAGTCTCCCCCTATGAAAACTCTTTGGTCTTCCGGAATGCTCCTAAGTACATCATCTAACTGATCCCAGAAGCAACGTTTCTCCCCCTCCCCTAGGCCAACGTGTGGGACGTACACTGAAAGGACATTCACCACTTCCGCTTCTATAATAACCTTAATCATCATGATCCTATCCAGGTATCTACAAACTTCAACTACATTTTCCTTGAGCCTAAAGGATACCAAGATACCCACCCCATTTCTAGCGTTATCTACGCCTGAATACCACAACTTGTACCCATTACACTCTCTGGCGCAAGCCCCTTTCCACCTAGTCTCTTATATAAATGCAAAATATATTTTCCTATTACTAAGTACGTCGGTCAGCTCCAGCAGTCTAGCATTTAATGTGCCTACATTCAACGAACAAACTCTAAGTCTAGTCTCCTTGACACCACTCTGTCGAGCCCTCCCCCTATACACCCTATGGGATCTAAAAGAATGACATGACCTCAAGTAATCATCTATAGCCGAAGCTATGAGGAACTATGAAAAAGGAATCCAAAGAAGGCAGAAGATGCACAAAAAAAAAACGCTAGAGAATTGAGGGGTACTAAGAAGCCTAGTTGGTTACTTAATAGGATTTTAAGACATATTAACACTATCTTACTTAACTTTAGGCCAATAGCTAGAAATCCAGTGATAAAACCACAAAAAAATTTATAAATCTTTATAACAGTTATACTCAATTTGAAATATCGATAATGATATAAGATACTAGGATTCTAGGACAATGAAAAAATACAGATCCAGAAGATCCTACTCAAAGCAAAGTAGAAAAATATAGATCCAGTAGATCATACTCAAAGCAAAACTACTTTTCAAGTAAATAACAAATTCTATGGAAGTTTAAGACGTTATCAACTTTAAGCCTTACTCAAAACATGAACTTTTTTCAATAAAATTCCTATAAATAATCCAAGCGAACCTCAGAATCTCAAGATCCTATAATTTTCAAGAACCAAAATACTGAGAAACTCCAAAATTAACAGATCATAAAACAATTCGGTCAAAATTCACTAAAAGAAAACTAATTTCCCGCTGCTACTACTAACAACAGAGCTAAATCTACGAACGAAAACCACATATCAAAAATAACTAGAAGAAGGAATACAAAGGGAATAGATACCGTTACATAAATAACCACACAAAATGCATATCTAAAGTTTTAAGATAACATCACATTATCCCAGAAACCGAAGCCAATATGCTTCCTTGAGTAGCAATGATTAAAGCACTAGATCTATAATTCCAAAAGCCCAAAAGATTGGATCTATTGAATTGATTTCATAACAGACAAAAAATCATAAAAAATGATCGAATTCTAACAATAACTATAAGATCTCACCAACAAATCACAGATCCTTTATTAATTCCAAAAACCCAAGTTAAAAATCAGTTAATACTTATACTTCTTTGTAGAGGCCAGCAAGGAAAAAATAGAATCAGATTGAAGTTTATCAGAAACCCAAATTGAAAACAGAATTTAAAAATCGCAATAACGAAAACCCAGAATGAAAATAAAAGGGAGAGTTAAATTAGAGAGTTTAGCTTCAGTATTTCGTCGGAAAAAGAGAAACAGAAGGTGGAAATCAACCACATCCCAAGGATAGGAAACCTGATCCCAGATCGCCTCTTGAGAGCTGAAGAAATTATTTTATATGAATATGTATTTTTTAAAATTTATTTAGCAAGGGTATATGCGGTTGTGATAAATAATTTATATACGAATATTTTAAACTCGATTTTGATATTTAATTATATAGCTTTTAGTTTTTTGTCTAAAGATTTATTATATAACGTATAGGAAGATAAAAAGATTTACTCTTTTTAAAGATTTGTTTGCGTGAGATACAACAAGACGCCTGTACAAGTACAATTTTGGATCGGGCAAAATCAAGAATTGATTTTATAAGAAGAACACAAATAATGAGGCTCAAAACAAAATTAATCTAAAATAAGTGCAAACGAAGGAATTCCCCCCATAAACTTGCTGGAATAAAGATGTAATAATTATGGAAAAAAGCATAACATTATATCAGCCACTTTGTCACATTTGGCTTCTTCGCCAATATAGGTTGTCGGAAAAAAATACATTCACCGTATTATTTTTTAAACTATGATTTTGTTTTATTTGAAGACGCTGTGCACTCTTGGGGTATTCTCAATTTACTTGAAGACGTCATGTAGTTGTGGGGTCTTCTTCATTTTCCTGAAGACGTCATGTAGTCATAGAGTCTTCATATTTAGCTTAAAGACGCGTGGAACACCTGACGTCTTTAGGTTGATATTGTTCAATTCACAATAGATGAAAAATTAATCCCCATAGTAGATTATATTAATAATTAAAAAATCTCACTTACATTATCTTATACATTTTCCCCACATTTTAAGAGAAGTAACTATGTCTAAAAGTGTTCCTTGCTATGCCTATAGTTGTAAAAATAGTTGGATTTCTTTCGTGACCACAATGAATATTTTATGAATCTTGATATTTAAAAACAATAATATTTATTTGTAGTTCAGAATATTTAGATAATCATATATAATTCTATTATAATAATTTCAAATAATTATGCTATGATATCTATTATTTTTTTCCTAAAGTTATATTTTAATTGTTATTCTAAAATTTATAACAATTGTAATAAAAAATAACATAATATCAAAAAATTGCTCTTAACATTTGATTAAATAATCAATTTGAGTCATATTTTTAAAGCATTTTGACCTCCAATATCTTATTTTAGAACAAAAGTCCTTACACCAATGGAAATCATTAGTCAACAAATGATTAATACTTCAAAATATGAAATGTTTTGCCCTAAAATAAAATGTTGGGGCCAAAATACTCTAAATAATATATATATATATATATATATATATATATAAGTGACTATTTAATTAAATGTTATAAACATTTTTTTCTCTTTAGATCAAATGTTATAAAATATTAGGAGGTCCAAGCATAAACTCTAAAAAGAAAACAATATATGGAATTTTTACATAATTAAAACAAGTAAAATATTAATGTTTTAAATTTATTACAAAATTAATTTTACATAAAATAAAATAAATATATGTATAGAAAGAGGATAGCGTGGATCTAATCTAATTACAACCGCACTTAATTAGAAGAAGGCTACCGATAAAGTTATTACCTTAGGATTTTATTATTATTTAAAAATGAATTTAAAGCCGCCTTTACTGATTTATTTTCATAGCTGTCAACATTAATCGCTGCTACTTTAATTAAATAATTTATTCTTCATTAAGCATGCAAAATAATCAAACCAATCTCGACCTAATTTACCTTATTCATATATATATCAATTTATTTTTAATATATTATTAAATATACAATTATTATAAAATTAATTTGGTTTCATACTCTTGCAAAAAATATTTATTTAATCTATTTTTTTATATTTTATATAAGTTAAATGTTGAATGATAAAATTATAAAAAAATAAAAAAATGTCTTTATTTCCAAAGTCCATTCGTAAAAGACACAACAATTTAACCATTGATTCGCTAACTTTAATTAATTTAATTCTTTAATTAATGTTAATGATTATTATGTTATCGTAATAATTTATTATATTAATGAAATAATTCACGTTATTGACGTGATAATTCACGATCTTAATATAATAGTCCATATGAAATGATGTATAATATTTAACTTTTTTTTTTAAAGTTTGACGGTAAAATTGGTTTTGTTTTGTAAAAGATTTTAATTTATATTAAATATTTAGGAAGTCCAAGAATTTAATTAATTCTTATGTAATATTTAAATTATAAATTGAGAAATTAAATTTTTAAAAATATAAAAAACTATTGAACTATTAAAATAATAAATACTAAAAATTATTAATAATAAAAATATCAGTAAATTTTTTTAAATAAATAAATAAATAAAAGCATAAGCCTTAAAAATATTAAGAGGTATAAAATGATAAATTATAAATCATTAAAAATTGATTTTAAAAATATTTACAAAATTCAAAAAATAATAAAAATTCTATTAAAAAATTATACCACTACAATTTACACATTCAAAAATCAAAATAAATATTTTTATTTACGGTAAAACTAAATTAATTATTTGCTTAAAAAACACCTCTTTAGCAAAATGGAAAAAGAGTAAATTACGTATTTAGTATCTAAACTATTAGGTTTGATTCGTTTTAATACTTAAACTTTCAACTTTGTAATAATCATATCTAACATTTATTTTTTATTTCATTTTAGTATGTCACCGTTAAAAACTTAACACATTTAGTACCTAAACTAACCAATTTTGGTTCGTTTTAGTACCTAAACTTTTAATATTTTAAAAATGTAAAGTTAAGTTTTAACGAATACTAAAATGAAACAAAAACTAAACGTTAAATATGATTTTAAAAAAAAAAAAAATTAAGTACTAAAACAAATAAAAACTGATAGTTTAATTATAAAGACGTAGTTTAACCAATAAAAAAGAACATGTAAAAACAAATATCAAAGTTTCCAAATATAAAATTGAAAGGATAAACGGTAGTAGTAGTTCGGCTGATTCTCTGTGATTCTCCTATTTATAAGCATCCATGCGTCTAGTGTTTTCACTCATTGCATATTCACTTGCCCCTTTAGCTTCTCATTTCTCCATTGTTATTTTCCTAATTTTAAGGTTACTCTCTGTACCACTTCATTTTCAGTATAAATTTATATTTAATTTTTTTTATTATTATGTTTCCGCATTTTTAATCCCAGGGGACTTGAAATGGATTCCGCAACTCTTCAAGAGGAGATCGAGTCGTTCTTTGAGTCAGCTCCGCCGCTCAAAGACTCCGCGAAAATCACCGATAAATTGAATCAGTTCATCCAATTTGATTCTCCATCTTTAGGTACAGAACCTTGTTGCTAATCAATTATGTATACATATTTCCCTATCGTTTGTTTATACTTATTTGTATACCATTGTTTAATACTCTGAAGGAAAAGGAAGGAGGGTTGTGTGCGTGACTTCAGGCGGAACTACGGTTCCTCTGGAGCAGCGGTGTGTTCGGTACATTGATAATTTTAGCTCAGGGCATAGAGGAGCGGCTTCTACAGAGTGAGTAATGTAAAGAAATTTTGAATAAGTTAGATATTTGATTCAAGGTTGGACTGTTTTTTAACAGATTGGAATTTTTTTGCAGGTATTTTATTAAGGCTGGATACAAGGTCATATTTTTGTATCGGAGGTGAATTTCGTTTTTGTTGATTGCTTATTTATGTTTGGTTATTTTTTGCCCGTGTTTAGTGGAATTTTGTATTGATTCTTCAATTCTGTGGATAGGGGAACCTGCCAGCCATATTGCAGCTCTCTTCCTGAGGATCCTTTGTTGGAATGTTTTGAAGTCGCTGATGATTCTGGTTTTCAAGGTTTGCAGATTATTTTTACCCTAAAGTCTACATTTTTAATGGAATGTTTCTCTTCGTTCAATACTTCGACTTTCGAGTTTCATCATAATTTAACTGCATTTATATTGGCTGTTATGACATTGATCTGCCAGTTTTAACCTGCAATAATGGTATAATGTGTTGTTATTTCCTACTGAGGTTATTGCATTATGTCTAATATTTCAGTGCGGCAATCACATTCTGAAGCAGTGAAGGGGGGCATTAGGAATCACCATGCTGTATGGGATGTCAATATTACTAATTAATCATTCCTCTAGTGTTCTTTTATCTAGCTTGTCTCTTTTAGTTCATGATTGCAAACCAAATCAACATTGCTTTAACAGTTGGCCTCTTTGCATTTTGTTGCAGGCAGTTGCAGGTGGTCTCCTTTTGAAGCTACCCTTTACCACCATATTTGAGTATCTTCAGGTTGGCTTCAATAAGATTTCATATGACTCCTCGAGGTTCATATTAATGACCTATTGTCAATGTTGATTTCTTTGTACCTTCGGAAACTCATGATGTGTATTTAGTGAGTAATGCTCCAATTTTAGGGTTAATTACGTTTGAAACTTTGGCTTTGTTATATCCTTTTTCATGGGTGATCTACCATTTTGGTTAAAATAGCTTTAAATATATTCTCTTATCTTTGCTTTTGGCAATTCATAGTGATAGCTTTAGCCTTTATTATATGCTTTTTTATGGGTGAGCTACCATTTTGGTTAACATAGCTTTAACTCAATGGTTTCTCATCTTTGCTTTTGACAAAGCTGAATGATAACTTTGGCAGAGGCCATGTCCTTGCCCTGTTTCTGAGCAAATAGGATTAGATCTTCTGAATTAAATTTTAAGAGAAAATGTTGGGCACCGTACTTTTTCACTTTTCTCTATATTTGGTAATCATACAGTTCTCATGGTAATTAGAGAACAGCTTCTAAGTATACTCTTTGGTATTACACCAAAAATATCATAAATGCATCTTATACAGCAACCATCTCTTATAACCTGAATGGTTTTTCTTGCAAGAGAAGATGTTAAGGATCATTGCATCATCAATGAGAAGCCTTGAGCGTCATGCAATGTTTTATCTTGCCGCTGCTGTCTCTGACTTTTATGTTCCTTGGAAGAGCATGGTAATGATTTGATATGCTAAAATCATAGTCCTTTTCTAGACTGAAATATAATTGTCATTTGAATAATCTTTTATGCATCTCTATTTCCTTGGAGAAAAGACTGATTAAAATATACAGGCAGAGCACAAGATTCAGTCAGCATCTGGCCCTTTGAACATGCGACTTATGCAAGTTCCGAAGATGCTCTCAGTGCTGAGGACAAACTGGACTCCGATGGCTTTCTGCGTATCCTTCAAGGTCAGACACGGTGGTGCACATGCTTTATGTCTGCTTTGGTTGGAAGCTAGGACTGATTAAAAGCTCTTATTGAAACGAATGCTCTTTAGTATCATGTATCATGAACTAATCGGTTCTGTTTCATCTGGTTTTGATCAACAGCTTGAAACGGATACAAAAATTCTCCTGGAGAAGGCCAATATGGCTCTTAAAAAGTACAAAATGCATTCAGTCGTAGCCAATGAGCTATTGACCCGGAAAGAGGAGGTTACAGTGGTAACAGGAAATGGAAATATTTCAGTTCGTCGGGACAAGACTCGACCAGGGTCCGAAGTGGAGGATCCACTGGTTGAACTCCTTGTGAACAAACACTCGACTTACATCAAAGATGCTAGCCTAAGCAAGTAGGACATCCCTCGATACATACATGGTACGAAACAGGTTTCAAAAGCATACCTTTATACTTTGAAATTCGCCATTACCGCAGTTTTTCTTTACTGAAAGTCTAACAAATTATTTTTCATATCCATCACGGTTACCAAGTTTGTAACCGATTGTTTTCCCTCACTAGACTCCAGGAATTGATCCACTGCATAACATCTGTATGGACAAAGCTTCTGTTTCTTTTCCATCTTGAAAAAAGAATGGAACAATAAATGCCATTTGCAAATTTCCCATGTGAACTACAACGAAAATTGAATATGACCTTTCTGTTTTTGTGGGCTTTCTCTGGATACTGCAAAAGATCCTCCTACCCCCTGTATTATTTGTCTAAACTGACATACATGCTTGGAACTTGGAATTGAGCAAAATATCATTTGCCTTCTGTTAGAAAACTGAAAATAACTCGATAACAGTTACTCCCCATATATCATGTAAAATATCAGTCTGTTTTTCCTTCTTTCTAATACAGATTCCCCTCTCAAAACTAACCAAAAACAATTCCCCCGTCTTCCCTTCTTTCCGATACAAATGCCCTAGGTTCATACGACGAGAGACAAATATGGTTGTGCATGAACTTGCTCAGCGGACATTTCAATATGATACTTTATTTTACTTTAATAGTTGAATGTCCTAGCTGTATTATATAAAATGGTGTACTTCATGATGTCATTTATGACTAAGTAATATATTCATCTTTCTTTTAAAAAATAATACAAATAACTACCTAAAAATAACCTTAGTAACTACTAAACAATAATAATGAGAACCTAAACTAAATACAACTTAAGGGTAACTACTAGAAACCTTTGATGTATAATAAATAATAGGATAAAGTATCTAGTCCCCCTATTTTGATCACTTAATTATTTTTTCCAAACTCATACATGAACTTATGTTTTGACCACCCTGTTAAAAAGTAAACATAAATGTTGACGTGATAATTTTTTTATATTTTCAACAATGATGTGACATTATCTTATGATGACATATTAGCATCACTGTTAATTTTTTAAAGATGGATGACCAAAATGAAATATTAGCAAAAATTTAGTTATGTTTTTAAAAAATAAAATTAATTATATTTAAAAAAATGAATTAGATAACTAAAACGGGTGACAACCTAAATAATAAACAACAGATACTAAGTAGGATTGTCAGTCTTGCTTTTACAGTGTAGGCCTTTTGAACTGCAGGTCTAAACTTGCACTTTATTAGAGTGTTGGAAGATCCAAGTTGTTACAATCTCATGTTAAATTGTGTTTACAGTAACTAATGCTTTCCTTTGAAATAATGTAGACGCTCTAGTTTCTTAGCCCACAAAGCAGTAACTAACAAGCCTACGGGACAATCAGTACCAACAAATTTAGAATTCATTTTATTCAGTTGTCCAATCGAATCAACTTGCAGCATCTAGCACTGCACCATGACCCCTTTAGCCACCGTATGCACAAGAACATTCTGTCGCATACATCCAACACAACACAACACTGCACATACACCCGCATTTAAAATAGTGGGGGAGAAGGGAAACATTAATCAGGAACAACATTTTCTTTCTTAAACTTGGAACAATTTTATATACAGTTTCTCATTTTGCCTTTCGTTTAAGCACAGAAGTATCATATGTCTATGCATTAGGGATCAAAGATCGGTGCTACAAAAAGAATTTAGTAGGGGGAGCATATGTACAAGATTTTCTAATTAGACTCATCATCTGTATCAAGATCGAGGCCTTCTGCAGCTAAAAGCTAACTTATGACCTTTTTCTTTTCCTATTCGGATTTCCGTCGCATCAAATCCCGCTTCGTTAGCACAAATGCCGCTTGAGAGTACTGTTGAAGTGTTCCATTGATGCCTTTTTCTCTTTTGCCAATATTTTTCTCTCTTCATCAGGATCTATATAAAATTCCACCCAAATACAAATTTTTGGACATGCAGCAACCATATAGGAAAGACTCGCTATTTGTTTGTCCGAAATATAAAATAATTATGAGAGTCAGCTGTGTATACTGTATAGGTAATGGAAGACAGAAATATCAAGAGTCTTACAGATCTAGTGTCAACCTAGAATTAGTTTGAAGCTCGAAGATCAAATTCTAAAATCGGAAATCTATTTGTTCAATTCTAGATCACGTGTACTTTAATTAGAAACTACTGCTCTAAATTTTGTACAACACTAAAACTTACCGTAAATAAAACAATGGCAAACCAAGCAATGTTTAGAAAGTCCACCCTGGTACATTTGCACTGTTATTTAGAAATAGGCGGTTACCTTAGAACGAGAAAGACGGCGGACACGAAGATTCAGCTCTCGCTGCTGCTGCTCGGCCCAAGCTGCAACAGCCATATCTCCACGCTGATCCCAAGCTTTTCTCTTTTTTATAAGCCATTCCATCCATGCTTCGGATGCCTGGAAGAAAGGAGAAACTTAGGAAATGCCAATCTTATAAGGTCTAACACACAGGGTAAGAAAAGGGAAGAATAATCAGAACTGTGAACACTTGACACAAAAATATTCAGAACAACTGGAATTTCACCATACTAAACAATTTTTTTTAAGAAAAACATAGAAAAATTATCTAGGTTTTGACAACAAAATTAGTAGGAAGTCAGTCTCAAGTTGCTTAATTAAGAATTTTAAGAACCAAGTTAATAACTCACATGTTTCTATAAGGGTAAACAAGAAGATTATATAATCTAAAATTATAAAATAAATTTGGATTGAGGGTTTTAAATCACTTGGAAAATGCACATATGAATAGACCCAGTTCCCAAGCACAAGTTCAATTCAATAAAAAAACATATTTTATTTTACCTTCATTGGAATGACACAGTTATCCATATCATATCGCCTCCGATTCTCCACGTCTAGGGATGGGCATGGGTCGGGTTTCGGCTAAACCGACCCGACCCGATTTGATCCGAAAAATATATACCCTTCACCTAGGGGCGGATACTCGAAATGCCGGGTACCCAGATCTTCGGATAATTGATTTCTCGGCCCGTGTCCCGACCCAGATGTTGTGGGTACCCGTATTTCGGGTATATGGATACCCGTTTTTTCTTTCAAATTATTAATTAAAAAAACACATAAATTTAAATGTTCGAAACTTCGAATTACATATTCCAACATCCAAACATAAAATTCAAAAGTTCGAAATACAAAATCTAATAATCTATAATATAAATAAAACATAAAAATTCATAGCTAAATATATGTATAGATATCTTGATACTTGAATCATGATCATGGTTACACTTCTTCATTTGTCATTCTCCTTTCCTACAAGCAATTCTTTTATTAGATATAAATAAACCATAAGTTTACAACAACCAATGTCTTACGAAAATACAAAATGAAAACATAACTAAACTTTCATCATAACAAATATCAAGTAAAACTTTCATCAATTAAAATATAACTAAAATTTAATAGCTTACCAAAGTTTGGGACTTATGGCCTATGAGAATTGTTTTTCATATGTGACATCTGAAACTTCACTTGTTTCATCAATGATAATTGTTGGTTGCTCCGAAGTTAAATCTTGCATTTCTATATTAAGTATTTAAAGTATGCAATCATTACAATGTATTACGTATGTTTTAAAATATAAACATTTAAATATCTAAATATGAAATTGAAAACTAACCTTCTTCCATATTCTCCAATGCTAGCAACCTCTCCTCTACTATAATAGTATTATGAGAAGCACAAATCCAATCTTGAATACAAGTAAGAGCTTCCACCAACCAAGGAGTCAAAGAAGTACGGAATGAATCAAGCAAACGTCCTCCCGTACTAAAAGTGGACTCTGAAGCAATGGTAGAAACCAGAATTGCAAGTACATCACGTACCATTCTCATAAGAATAGGATAATTTATTGTTTGCATAGATCACCAAGACAAGATATCTAATTCATCCATCTCACGAACACATTTATCCCCCAAATACTTGTCTCAATTATTTTGGAAGTATCAAATAATTATACTTCATTCACAAAATCCTTTCTCAAATTTGTTCCTTTCAACTTCCGTATTCCTTCACCACCATGGGCACTAGACTCCATAGAGAAATAATTCATTTCTGGTGCCGCTGGTTGCGAAGAAACATAAAAATCCAACAACGATGTCAAAGTGTCTTTAATTCGTTGACACAACTCAAAAGAGTTGCTAGGATCATAAGAACGACGAACAATCCACTCAACATATCTTAACTTATGTCTAGGATCAAGAACTAAAGTAATGAACATCATCATATTCACATTGTTAACATTTGCCCAATACTTATCAAATTTCATCTTCATTTGACGTGTCATGCTCTTAAGCCCAACATTTGAGTCATCATAAGATAACGATTAATCGTATACCCAATGTCAAATATTTCTTCCACAAAATTATTATCAATCACATACCTTGATCCAGAGAAGCTCAATGTAGCCTCATAAAGGATCTCAAGAAAAGGCAAGAAAGCAGTAACTTTATCCCAATCCTCATCATCAGGAGGGCCACCAACCTTCCTAAGCTCTTTGGTGTAAGGAACACACTTCGTTTTCATATTTTTGAATGCCTTTTTAAACACTAAAACACTCTTGAGCATGCAATAGGTGGAATTCCAAATGTCCAAGCAAACAAGATATTTTTGTTTAGATCAAAACTTTTTTAGCCTTGTAGAGAAAGACCTCACATATTGCACAGCAGCACGAACTTTCATAATAGAATCATCAACATCCTTCAACCCATCTTTAACAACCAAATTCAGAATATGCACATCACATCTTATATGGAAAAATTGAGCATCCAACACGCTTCCATCCCACAAGTTAACAATTTGCTTCAAATACTTGATCGCTAGATCATTTGAACTGACATTATCAACGGTTACCGTCAAGATTCTCTTAAGACCCCAATCTAGTAGACATTTTTCAAAGGCTCTACCAATAAGTTCCCTAGAATGACCGGTAATTGGACAAAAGTTGATGATCATCTTGTGAAATTTCCAAGTATCATCTATGAAATGGGAAGTAAGACACATATGCGACAAATTCTGACCAGATGTCCATGTATTTGTGGTAAGACATATCCTAGAGGAAAAATTATTGAAAAAGTTCTGCAACGTCTTCATTTTTCAATAAACAACATAACAATCTCTTGTAATAGTAGTGCGTGGAGTAAGAATAAAATCAAGAAT